TAAATGACGTTTGACCCATTTTTTAGTTTGTACGGCGTGCAGATTAGTGGGGTTGATTTTTTTTATTTTTTTATGGTTATGGTCAAATTTAGTTTATATTTAATCCAGTGGCGTATATTTAATCCAGTGCACCAATATTCGAACCCAGATTTAGTGCCATATTCATACTCGAATTGGTTGAAAAATACACTTAATTTTCTAGGTTACTCGATATCTATCCATTTCAAGCAATATTTTGATAATTGTTTATGTTTTGAGAGTTGGTGCACAAGTATATTGAGGTTAAGGAAACGCCACTGATTTAGTCGAAGATTTTGAAAAACCTATCAGATCCACTTCGCCTTACTTTCAGACCTAAGATCAAAAATCCATAAACTAAAATTGATGACTGAAGATTCCAGGAAAGCAGTAGTTTTTCTGTTGTTTGTCATTAGTCATGTTTTAAAGGACTTCAAGCAATTAAGTACAGAAACATGCTTTAAAAAATCAAATAACAATAAAGTTGGGTTGTGTAAAACATGCAGCGATGAAAAGAAGGCGTAACCGTTGATTGTTAATTAACTCTTAATTTAAAACATTAATTGCAATGTAGGGATTATGCCAAACGTATCAGACCCTTATTAATGCTTTCAACAGTAAAAACTCAGATGGCCTGTGGGCCTTTGGTCACATACCTTTGTCCTTGGAGTTACAGGAGATATGGTGCAATTTTTCGATTAGGGATCGACTATCCACAAATGACGTAGGTTTCAGAAGTTGTGACCGGCCATGTATTAGGCATAGCAGAACATGCTATGGATGCAAAACCTCACTCAAAGATACCCCGAGGGAGTAAAGTGCAATTTAAGGATACGTACACCTTAGAAAAAATCACCGACTTCGGTAATTTATTTACCGAATTCTCAACAGCTGAACGGTCGGTAATCGAGAACATTACCGAAAAATCTGTAAACTGGATCAGCAAAATTAGCTGTCAAATTTATCGAACGATCGGTAACGTTTACCGATGTGCATTGCTTGATTTGTAGTCGACTTTACCGGAGAACTGTAATTTTGAGGACGATATTCAAATTGAAAATTACTGAGAGATCTGTAATTTTTTAAAAAGGTAACTGTAATTTGCATTAATATTGTTTCAAGGTGGCGGTCACTGCAACCCATGCAAAAAATTGGCTGCAGTCGTGATCAATGTGTTAGTGCAAATTGCTCCACCAATGAACAAAACCAAGTTTTTGTCGGAAGGATTCGACGCTAAACTGAAAACAGGGAAGCATTGGATGAAGATGTAAATGCTGTTTTAAGATCGTCGCCAACGGGAATGGAACTTGGACTGACAGAAAAAAAACAAGCAACAACGTCGGCCATCTGTAATCGGTATTTATCTAGATAACGAAAATTAATTACTTACTGAAAATATCTACGATTTGCTCATTTTGGTGTTGCATAACAGGCTCCATAATTTCACCTTTTTATTTTTCACAAACACAAACGTTTTCAAAGTCGATTGAAAATCACAATATGGTGGATTTGACGTTTAGCGAACCGTTACCGAACTCAGTAATGGAACGTTTTGTTTACCGAAACTTCAGTAAAATATTTCACCGAAATCAGTGATGAAGCTGATTTACAGACCTGCCGGTAAAAATGTTTACCGTTTTCGTTAAATTAAAATTAATTTACCGAAATTAGGTCATTTCATGCACAGTTTTCAGCAATAAAGTGAGAAAATACCGAATCATCTGAAATTTTTAGTATTACCGATCTAAGACGGTATTTTTGTACCGAAATCAGGGTCTCTGTTTAAGTGTATACACACTTAGAAATTATCGCCGACTTCAGTAATTTTTACCGAAATCTGAACAGCTGAACTGTTCGGTAAAATTTATGCAATTTAATTCAATTGCTTTTCAGCTACTTTAAAACTAAATTCCACTAAAATGACAAGATTTAATCATTTAAGCAAGGTTGCTTATGTTTCATTCTGGCCTAAAATTCATTTGATAAAGTAAAGTTTCATCTTAGAGATCCAGGCACAACGTCTGGCCCGTGGGCCACACGTTGTGTAGGCTTACCTTAGAGGAATTTAGTTGCAACTGATTGTATCATTATTACTTTTTTTAGAAACTTTCCGGCCAAGTGGGAAGAAACTTCCCAGTGAAGTCGGAAGAAACTTCCTGGCGAAGTTGGAATAAATTTCGCGGTGAAGTTGAAAGAATTTTCCTAGTGAAATCCTAAGGAACTTCCGAGCGGACTGGGTAAAATTTTCCGGGATATGTCAATAGAACTTTTCAGAGGCATCCGGAAAAACTTTACATGAAGCGAATGAAAACCGTTGCATTTCCAGATGACTAAGATTCTCAAGGAATAAACTTAACATATAGCTGGTCTTTGAATCCTGAGCAGACAGATGGTTACAGGGGGCAAGACAACTTAGATATGTTTGACCCGATTTTGAGCCACCTTTTTGAAAATCTTTTCTAATGTTCTACGAAACCCATACGTCTTTTCAGTGGTCATATTACATCAAAATATACCTTAAACATCCATCTTGAATATGAATGTGAAAGATTTGGAACTAAGGTTTTGTAAAATTATTGAAAGATAAAAGCCTGATGTGCAGAGGGGCTGAATAAATCGGGTCATTACTGTAGCGTAAAATTTTCTAAATATTAACGAAAATATTTAAGTACTTAAAAAAAACTAATACATGTGAAAGATAGAGTTGTAGTACTTAACAATGTTTGTTTTACGGATACTTTTGTTTTAAGTCTATGAAAATGAAAACATAAACAACATATTTTGTTATATTCAGCAAAAGTGTCCTGACCCCTGTATGGTTGCTGTCATCAATATGTTATTCAAATTGACAAGGCCTACTTAATGGTGGAAAGATAAGTTCGAGATCCTCTCGCTAGTTGATGCTAGCGTGCATACGTATTAGCTTCCTTTATCACGCTACCTTAAATCTAGAGTCTCTGACCTGATGTTCTGATAGTCAGTTTAGTTCAGGGTTCGCTCACTAGGTGTTGCTAGCGTGAATTTCCTAAATAATTTAGCCTAAAAAATCGAAATGTTGACTTGCATAGAACATTACGTATTCCAACTGAAGGCCCTATCCCCTCTCATAACAATGTTCACCCTGTATTCGAGAGGAAAATCATCTGATTTAAATACAATCGTCATCCGGTTGCATCTATTCGAAAAGGCGATTTCAATGTTTCGATTTGAATGGTCTGAAGTTCGAACAGAGGACGGTGGTTTGGTACAGTGTTGGGGTACAGGTGGCGAATTGTATTATGATACTGGAAGCTCAGAGTGAAAATGGCAGATGTAATATTTATATGGCAAATATCTTACAACCTTTGCCAGAAAGTAGCGTTTGACATGACTTTTCGTTTAGATTCGAAGCGAGTGCAATGCATTTTAGTAATATTTCAGTGCATTGCAACGTTTTGCAAAGAACAATTATTCGACAAAGTTGGGATGTTATTTTTGATTCCATAAGCTAGTAGAAATAAATAAATACATGAAAAATTATCGTTCTTTAATGTTTACGCGATTACAATAATGTTCGATTGGCTCAGATTTTGACAGTTCAAGCCGAACATAGAATTAGGTCCAAAGTAATATTGATCGATTCTCTTCGTCGATTTCCTCTTTGGATTCGCATGGCCACGTAAAGACAGTCCTGGCTTTTTTTAGCACACAACTCGATGAAAAAGGTATTAAAGGGTGTATTCGATAAAATTGGCACACAAATTGGCAAAAATTCGAATACGCCATTTTGAAGTTTTTTGTGAGATTCAAAATGGCCGAATTTTAGCTCAAATGTGAATGATTGACGATAACAAACAATTACGCAAAGCTTCATGCAAATTGGACAAGGTCGTGTTTAATTTGTTGTTTACTATTTGGACTGGAAATGCTCTTTAGTTGCATGATGTTCGCCAGTGTTCGGAATATCAATCTCAAATCTCATTCATTGCGCCCTCCTGAGAAACAATCTCAAGTGCGAATCAGCATACGAATCTCACGAAATCACACTCATAACGGTAACAAATCATTCTAGCTGAAAACTCATATAAGAAACACTCAAACTTCAATTGACCACTTCATTCGAGCAGTCAAATTGATGTTTTCTACCACTCGAACTTTGAAATAAAACATTGTTTTGAGATTTTTTGTTCTATAACCTCGAGAAAAGTAGCCAACATTTGTGCGTTTCATTAAAAATGGAAATTAGTTGGTCCAGTTTTGTGAACTCGCAGGTAGAAAGTCACGCCAAAACTGCTTGACAAAGTGGTCAATTGATAGCATGCTCACACGACCCATCTGACCAACTCAAATTTGAGTAGCATTGCACTCAAAATCTTAGAAAGTGGGGTAACTCCTAAAAAAAAGCTCAAGTTTGACGAAAATCGAGGAAAATTTTACTACAGGGTTGGTAAGCAGTAAACTATAGAAATTACATGCGCATACAGTGCTGAAAGAGCAGAATGAAGGCTATTTGTTGGAAGTGCTTACAAGCCCTTAAATAATGAAGAGAAGCCCTATATCGGCATAATATGACCACCACAAGGGTTTGGTAATATTTTGACAGGAAAACCACATTTTTCACATACACACAAGCATAGGAGTTTGATAAAGTAATTATGATGATTTGAATAAGGGACCATATGCATTAAGTTCGTTACGTGAAATTGAGGAACAAGAAGTTTAATTATAACTAACAACCTACTTTCCAACTTCTGATATAAACTGTAGGATCTTGAAACAATACAATTCCCTATTCCAGATGGTGAGCGTGGGCGGAGAAGCCGGACCTATACAAAAGCTCTAGCTACGGTACTGATAGGTTCTCATCGCGCAATTCGTGCATGTGTATGCTCTGTAACAGAAGATGTAATAGCGCGGCCCGCTGAGAGTCCGCTTTAGTAATTGTGTTCACAGTGTGTCGTCGTGATTGCATCTCACGTTTTTCATCCGTCTACTCTTTTTAGTAGAAGCCAGATCGGCCAGCAACGACGAAGAGTGACCCCCGCGTGTAAATCATCTGTTTTGGCTGGAGAGTAGCTCCCACCGATCAGCGAAACACAATGTGACTGTGCAGGTCCCGATGTAAGGCATTTGATGTAAACAAAAACATACGGAAAGTGTAATGAAGTGGAATCGTTCGTGCAATTTCAATTATTCACAAAGAGAAGCGAAGAGTAGTTTAGGTGTACGAAGCTTTTCGTGATTTCACGTTCGTAAGCGAAAAGAAGAAAATCGAACTCTTATATTACAACAGGGAGTGTCGTGAGACCTGTGCGTAGTTGTCGTCAAGTTGAATCGAATCGGGTTGGAAAAATGAGTTTCACTTGTTGAACGGTGTCGCGTTCCGTGTACTCGTGGCCATGCCAATGCGAAAATATCGACCCACATCGTCGACGTCTGCCAGCTGTACTAGTAGTAGCAGCAGTAGCAACAGCACAATCACCAATCTGACCGTTACAAACGTGACACCGACGATAACGACCCTGGCAGGCGCCACTAGTCTAACCCCTGTGGTACCGCAGCACTATCATCAGCTGGCTGTTGCTACTGCCACCAGTACGGCCCAGCGAGTTGTCCACCATCATCACCATCACGCGGCCAATTGCAACTTGAATCTCATCACCACCGCCGCCGCCGGAGCATACCAAACGATCGCTCAGCAACCCCAACCGGCTGCACTGCAACGCACCACCATCCATTCGGCACCACCGATTCTTGATCCACTTCCGCTGTGTCTCGATGCCAACGGAACGTACCTCTGCACCGCCTACAATCCACGATGCTACATCATACAAAAGGTAATTGTCTCTCATCTTATTCATTTTGCCTCAGCTATCTAAATATCTATCTATCTAGCTCTGGCTGGTCGATGGAGTGGTACGTGTGCGTTTTGTTCGTTCTCATTCTACGTTTGATTAATCGAATTTATCACTTTCACGGTCGTTGAATCTAACTCAGTGACTGAGTTAAATTGTATTGCTGTTCTCATGTAAATCTTACTCAGTAATCGTAAAAACTGGGGTTACTCAGAGATTGAGCAACCACAGTTTAGAAAAAAATCCAATGCAATTGAGTAAAAGTTACTCACTCGCTGAGTTAGTCTCAACGGCCATGATTGTATTAGCGAAAGGTTTGCGAATGATGTTCAAAACATGTCACCACAGCAAGGTGAAAAATGCATCGTTTGAAACCTTGCAGCACGAGGATAGATAATCGTTTTATGTCTTCATTTCGGTAAAAATATAAACGGTACCCAAATAATGCACTCAAACTGATCAACAATACATAAACCAAAAAAATAAAAAAAGATAAATAAGGGTATTCCACACTGGCCTCAAATCGACAACAATTATTCTGTCTCATGTCAGGTAGAAGAAGAAGAAGAAGAAGAGAAAAAAAAAACTATAAGGGACAGCCCTATGTGGTTGTACGCAACGGCGACGTAGGACTACGTGGTCTTATATAATAAATCTTATTTGTTAATTGCAGCAGGAGCTTGTGTTTGGTATAGGAATACGAATTTGAGTGGGGTTCTCTCTGTTTATAGTCTTAAGTATGACGCCCTTGACGTAGATGGCCCACAGCGACTCACGAAGAGCTACTGATTCTGATCATTAGCGGTGTGGCTTATCCCTCCTTGTATGGATGCTCATGTTGGCTGCAGCTCGCTGCTTGCAGGCAGCCTTTCGTTGTGTACTGGAGAACACCACCTATGACCACGCAATCGGAGATAATTTTAACTATCATAGCAACAGTTGCACATTCGTGCAATTTTCAATAGTGACATTTTGAAAATGATAAAGTCTTAATTTTAACAGATTCATAGAAAAAAAATCCTATCGATTGGCGTCCCAAGTAACAATACAAGCTGAACATTAAGAACATAAGCTGATTATTGGTTGATTTAAGGTGTACAAAGCTGATTAACATCAGGCTGAATATATAGTCGATTAATAGTGCATGAAGCGAATTGTATCCCCATAATCCAACCTCAATAAGTTAGCTGATCCAAAGATTGAACAAACCTTATTTAAGCTTAACACAACTCCACAAATCAGCAATGCGTTAGACATATTTTGATAGCTTGATTTGTTAAATGTCGTCAGTGTCTGTGTCACTCGTTGCATGTCCGGCATTTTAGTTCTACTAAATTCACTGCCTACCCTTCTTATTACAGGCAGTGGCAGCAGTAGAGTCAAGGAAAACGAGATTTTTAGGAATAGCTCCAGGTAGAAGTGGTCAGCGAGGACGTCGGAAGTATTAACATTTGTACTTCTGTGTTTTGACTGTTCACCACTTTATATTGTACTGAATTTTCAGAACGCATTCCAAAAATATTACTCAAGTATGGCACTAAAATAGCATCCAAATGACCATCAAAATAAATCGCTAGCTTCTGTCCACATTGTGTTAAGTGCACTTGAAAATGAGAGGAATGTTTAACGGTCACCAGTTGCTGCTTACAATTCTGCATTGCTGTATAATACACTTCCGGGTGCTATTATTCAACTTAAATTTGTCGTGCTTCAAGTTAATGATCATATCTTTTACCAAACATATGCCTAAATGGTCCAGTAGGTATGGTTGACGCCTATGAATCAGCGACTGCCGGTTCGAATCCCGAAATGCAAAGGAAATTTTTATACTTATATTAACAATATAAATATGTTAATCCAATTAGTCAGCAACAAGTTGAAACAGTTCCATGTAAATGCATAAGATATGAAGCGGTCTTCCATTATTATTTTTGAAATAAAACTAAAAGGTTGAACAAAGGTTGGAAATGACTGTTATTTATTGCCTTAAAAAGCTTATAATGTATACTACTGTTAAGCTTTTGGCTGATTAAAATCACCAGATTTAGATGTGTATGTACAGCAATTATTCAATCTAAGGCTAAATTGAAATTAATCAACACTTTTTAAGCATCAAATTGTTACCTGGGGTATTACAAATTAAAATCCATCCTCTGTGAATCAAAATCAGACCACTTTCATGCAGCGACCGACTATGGTTTTTGAAATTGTACCCTCAATGTTACCTTCAAGAACATGGTACACACTTAGTTTTTTCTACCGAGCTCAGCTGTGCAAATCTCGGCAAAAAAAGTTTCACTGAGATCTCAGCAAACATTTCATTTGTTTGCTGAGATTCAGCTAAGCATTATCCGAGACTCAGCAATCAAATGTCACTTTTGCTGAGATCTCAGTGCCGAGATTTGCACAACCGGGTTCGGTAGAAAAATCTAAGTGTGTATGTTAGATTCAAACATATCTAGATAGAGCTGGAATTAGGCGTAACAGCTTTTGTAAACAATGATTTCTCTCGTTGATTTTTAGGAATTCAAGGCACGCCCACGCAAACCAACATTACCGCCGGGTAGGGGAAGTCTTATCCTACCTGATTTTGTCATTGTTTACAATAGCTGTTACGCCCTAATTCTAGTTCTATCTTGATATTAGAGAACATCCAATTGATGACCTTGACAAAATACTCTTTTAAAAATGTATGGTGGTCCTGAAAAGGACCGTTTTGTCGTGATGGTTGAGTAATGCTGAGCTATTAGGGTGTTAAACACAGATGAGGATGGTGTATGTTTTTTGGAATGAGGGTGACGCGCTTGGCATAGATGGCCCACAGCGATTCACGAAGAGCTACTGATTCCGATCAATAGCGGTGCGGCTTCTTCCTCCTTCTATGGATGCTCTGGGTGCGCTGCAGCTCGCTGCTTGCAGACAGCCTTTCGTTGCGTACTGGAGAACAATGTTCAATGCCACGCACCGAAAGCACTGCTGTTGCTGCTGCTGATGATGTCGACTACCGGACACCACAACACACGGTGATTGTAACTGAATCCGATCAGCGGTTGAGATATTTCTGATCGAATGGTGATAAAATTATTGAAATTGGTCCAGGGGCAGCTGAATTATTAACGTTAAAAATCTTTCATAATTTTGTTACACTCCCGAGCATAAGTTTTAGGACACCCCCAAAAAAACATGACAAATTTGTTATGTTTATATCTCTGTCATGTTACGTCCAATTTTCGTTCTCTTTAGATCATTTGAAAGGTATTGAATGGAACATTTCTCGTAGGCAAATTGTTCAATATAATTTTCAAATTTTGTAAGCTAAAAGTTCACCCAAAGTTACAATATTTTTCAAAATTTACTCTGAAGAATCGTGACTGATTTTCTCAGAATTGGGTTGGCCAATTTTGAAATAAAAGTAGTAGTAGTACCTATCATACTCAAAAAGCCTTTGGAGATCGAAAATTGAACAAAACATATTTGCATGGTTTTTTTTGGGTGTCCTTAAACTTATCATCGGTAGTGTACATGTTTCATTTTCTGTTTTCACAAAGTGTACCCCCATATAGAAATCACAGACGTAGTCCTACGTCAAAACTACTATAGAAATACAGGGTGTCTACTACCTGGAAAAAACCTGGATAACCAGAACTCCTCTGGGAATTTTAAGTTTCCTGTAAAAACCTCGAATTCTCATTATTACGCAGAGAATTTTCAAATTCTCTTATCAAGGATTTTAATATTCCTCATTATTTTGTTTCACTCATTGAACTTAATAGATCCTGAGTGAATTTATCTTCAGGAACAAAATGAATTTTAAAAATTCAGAGGCTTTAGCGTTTTTCAATTTTTGAAATATGGATATTATTCACAAATTTCAAATATGAACAATTTTTTTCAAATTCTGGGCTTTCATAATACATATTTGGAACATTTTCAAGAAACTGGATCGAAGTCACATTTTTATTGTGTCGGACATTGAGTATTTTCCAAGGTAGTGGTCAAGGTCACAGATTTGAAAAACATCAATATTAAGGGCCTTGTGTAATTTTCAAGGCTCATGAAATTTGATGATAATTTCTAAGCAACTCATTCCAAAGGAATTTTAGGAAGAACTTTGATGAAAGCTTGAAGTGCAATCTGCTTGCAAGATAGTCCTGAGGAGCTCCAGAATCTATGTGAAACCTGAATACCAAGTAAACCCTGCATAGGAAATTTTAACGAAAATTTATAGAAATTTCTGAAGTTAATTCCTAAGTAATTCTGAAGAGGACACCAAGGAAATTCAAAGAAGAATTATAAAAAAAAATCTGAGGATAATTTCAAGAAGTTTCAGGTAGAAAAATAATACGGAGCATAATAATATGCTAAGAGGAGGATTACACTTAAATCTGAAAATAATTCCAGGAGTACTTAATGGAACTCGGAAAAGAATTCCAGGAGAGTTCTGACATAAATGCCAAATATTTTTGAATGAGAAAACTATGGAATGTGTTACTTCACTGCAAGCGAGTTCTTAGGAAACTTTCAAAGTGAGTAGAATTCCAAGTGAAGAAATTCTGAGCATAATTTCAAAGGATTTCTTACTGAGGGGGTAATTTCTAGAAAAAAAAATCCATGAGGATTGAATTCCGACGATAATTCCATGATCACAGTTTAATTTTCCCGGAAAATGTTGGTTAAAATTTTCAGATTTTCCCTTTGATACTTTGAACATCGTAGAAAAGAAGTTCATGTAGTGAAATGATAAGGACATTATCTATCCATACAACAATATAATCAAAACCTTGCTTAAAAACTTCTTATTATTCACTGGTGAACACTTCAGAGTGATGTCTCATGCTGTTTTTGAGATATGACCAAAAAACTAACAGCCCGGAAAATGCTGGTTCATCTTCTCGATTTTTTTTCCGAAATTGACATACTTTGAAAATCCATAACGCATGAACAAAGTTTCGTAGAAATTTTGTTTTGTTTAGTGAAATGATAAAGAAAATATCTCAGCAACCCATACAAAGTATTGAAGCATGAAACAAATTTATTACCCTGGCAATGGTTGTTTTCTGATTGTCCTTGTGATTTTCCTCCATCGTGAACATTTTTGCGGAAAACATTTCCAGAGTGATTTGAGATTTGGGCGTAATTGAATTTGTAAACAAACACGCCAATCGCCGATTCATCGCAACTAAAAGATCAATCTCGAAAACTAATAACACTACCAGGTAGATGAATGATTACTCTATCATTTGGCATAGTTTTATTTGTGAAATTGAGCTTTTATTCACTATTGACGATGATAAGGGTGATTGACGTGTTTGTTTACAAAAGCAATTGCTTGTATGATGTATGATAATTGTCTACCACTCATTGTAGCACGGAAACTAATGTCGTTTTCGTTTTTGCGGTGTAGCACCGGTGTAGTGTAAGCAGGAATAAGCGCGAGTCTTTGACAACTCAACATCATTTGTATGTAAACAAAGGTGGATCCTTTAACTACACCCTAAATTATTTCGGTATACGGCACCGGTGTAGCTACACCGCAAAAACGAAAACGATATTAATAACCTCTGATTGTCACTGTATGAAGGGCCAAAAACGGTTTTGGTGGATCGATAGGTAATTCACCTATACGCCTCCACGGGATGATAGAGAATCTCCTTCCAGCCACATGATCATACAATTGCTCAAAAAACAAGCCGTCCGACAAAAGGATACCTACACGGTAACCGCAAAATACCCATACCCATACTTTGTAGTCAAGTAAGCATTTTCGAGTGAGACTGGGACTACCCATTAAATGAGAAAACATATTACCCATTTATGAGTATTTGTTACTCAAAAATGAATACTTACTACTTATTTTTGCAGTTGTAATTACTCATAAATGGGTAAAATTTTACTCATTTAGTGGGTAGTCCCAGTTTCCCTCGAAAATGCTTACTTTGTAGTCATTATTGGATATTTTGCGGTTACCGTGTAATGAGTTTGGAGAAGAGCCCGCCCTTTTTCCACGAGATGTTAACAATAGGGAGTTGACAATTTCACTCTTCCCATCCAAATCGCTTCAATTGGATGCCCTGGCAGTCCCTCCCCTACCCATCATTTATTGGTTCATATAATAATATAATGTTTTATATGCATATGCTACAAGGCGTAGGTCACTCCGCACACCAATCTCGGGACATCTATTTTGTCATTGTGCCACAAGTGTGCCACAGGTGTGCCGAATGTGCCGGTCATACAGCAAGCTGCGATTGTTTGTAAAATATCCATCCTGGCAACCCGGTATTTCTGACACCTTGAATGTTTTGGTTTGAAATCCCAAGGATAAATCGGATTAAGGATGACCTGGGAAGGGTGGGTGTGCGAAATTTTGGTGTTTTATGTTAATAGTATGATAAAAATCCTATGTTTTAGGGTTTTATAATGCCCTCAAAGGCAGACCAGAAACCTATACTATCGTGCTGTGAAAAGCAACGATCTATCAGCGGCTGGAAAGAGATGGTACCGGTGGGGACATTGTAAGAGATCGACTATAAAGGATGATGAATAGACTTCGGTAGTTTGTTTTGTGTGAGTTGCATCATTATTTGAATTAAGGGTGCTAATGGGGTCTTAATAACTGCCTCTTTCTCTTGAGCCCACTCTAGAACCTGCATTTCGTATTTAGATCTATAAGTGAACTGCTGGTCTGAGTTCTTCTGGTATATTCAATTAGAGGATGGTCCTGAATATACAGTCAAACAGCACGTAATGTTGTGAACAACTTCAATAACAGTTATCCAGCAGTGCTCCGATTTTATTTACAACAATCCAATGCCTACGAGATTGTGCCGAAGGTATGCCAAAGGTGTGCGCATGGATGTGCCCAAGCTGTGCTGAATCTAATTTCGGCACAATGTGCTGAGTCTTACCCCTTGATATGCTATCATTTTGTGACAGTATATACGGTGACTTACCTTTGACCATCTTCCTTCTTGTCTTTTGTTGGCCTTCTTGTAGGTGGTTGGCCTAAGGTCTCCTATCCTCTGATGGGACTGCCATCTTAGGTGTAGCTTCCGGGGAAGAGCATTTCTTATTCAGTCGCTGGATGTCAGTCTGACACTTTTTGAGCCGCACCTCCGTGGTGGACAGACGCTCGGCGGCGAAGCATTTCCTCTACCACCGTGCTTGGGGGTTACCGCGCCACTGTCCGCTTCGCACCTCCTCACTATACTGGTAGTCGTTTGTAATCATATGACTCGTGGAGGCGTGAGGTAGAGACTTGTGAGGACCGGAGCTAGGAATCACTCTCCTTTCAGGTTGTCAACTCCAGGGATGGCAAATGTCTTTTTCAATGAAAGATCTCACGCGATATTTACAGGTATACTTCTGTCACTATCATCGGATGAGAAAACGATAATAGAGATTTTCTTTAAAATCTCATCGAAATTTTTGAAATTTTTGAGAACTACACTCAAAGGATTTTCAAATCTAATAAGATTAAAAGTTACGCTAAATCGCAACTCTCCTTACCGACGCATAGCTTGGTATAAAGAAAGAGAATTCTGGCTTAGTATAAAACTGGTTTATACATTGGATAGTATAAAATTGAGATATTCTTTAAATGTACATTATGCGTTTATTAGCCAGATTCGATTATTTTTCAGTTTCATGTCATGTGGTTTGTTATGATTGAAAAACATAAACAAAAAACTGGAGAGAGTGAACCGTATGGGTATACGTTTTTATTTTTATTCTTTAAAATTAATAACATTATGAAGAAGTTATGGTTGAGGTTGCGGTGGCAGTGATGACTGACATAGATGATGATGACTCGGAAGTATATAAATAATCGAAGGTTTTCATGAGATTTTTCAAAGTCACGGCCAGAAAACGGCACCATCCAATTGGATCCATCAGCGGGAAAAGTCACCTATCCGTATTCCGGTAGTTCAGCTTCTCACACCTTCACCCTCACGCCCTTCAAGATGTGCCTCATGATACTATATATACTATTATACTCCCCGTAAATCGAATCCTCATCATACTGCGACACACGGGAGATGGTCGATCCGGTTCAGGTTGTTGTACGACGAAACCAAACTCTTCCAGTCCAGATACCGCATGGAATCACCTTGTCTTAAATGGTGTACAATTTTTTGATCCCGTTGCCATCCTATTGATTCGCCAAGGCAGTTCCCATCCGTATAAATCAACTCAGAACTGGAAGTAACCCAACAACCGAGAATTGTTTGTGTTGATCTGGCGTTGAAATGACCAGAAGTTTTGCCTATAGGAAGAACCTCAGAAGACTCGATCACAGAACGGAATAGGCCACAGTTCATCCGGTTCAGGATTTTTCGCTTCGTCGATTTTGTGGCGACGGCAGTTCAGTTCCCTCCAGTACGATCGCTGGGGGCGGATGTCGATGGAAGTACAAAAATACCTGATATGATAATCAAACATTTTGAACCAGACTCACCACCGTACCGCAGCATATTCTCACCTTTCTCGATTCCCTCACCGGAATTATTTTTTTTTGTTCTCGATATCCCCATGATCCGTTCCAGTTTCGACTTATCGTTGACCAGTGGCAAAAGCATGGAATCCCACAGCGGCAGTGATTCACCTTAATTAGTCGCACTCCAAAGCAAAGATGAATGACCAATCTTCTGCAAAATACTCGTACCTAATACCTCCGATGATCTTGCGCTGTGGATAGCCAAACATCAGCATCTAAAATTATGGTGCTGCATTTAAATAATGTTTTATAAAGTTATTACTGCAGTTTTTTTCTACTCGAAGCTAAGATAAAAACACTTGTTTGAGGCGGTTTATGTCGATTCATGACAAGAGCTAAACATAGAAACGAATTGTTATGCATAATCATGAACTATGACATGTTATTCATACTCATGCATAAAAACAAACCTGGAATAGATTACTTTTAAATCAAAGCTATGTATAAACAAAGCTAAGTAAAATAAAAATTACATTTAAATCAATTTTCAATTAGTAATATTTTTGAGTACAAGCGTGTATCTTGATTGCATTGATAGTGCTAGATACCACCTAGCCATAGGCTTCCAAGGCAGTTTATTTTGAATCCGCTTCTCTCTTATCCTAGACCCTCTCTAGGACAGTTATGCTTTTATGGACAGTGCAGTAGTTAAGATAAATGAAACCGCTCAAACAAAGTTGAAGGAATACTCAGTAGAATGTAGGTTCATATATACAAATTGATGGATCGATGCGATCTCGCGCTCTAGCAATTGCTAACTTGCTATCTTAATCATCAATTCTGGTGACCAACCCCTTCGGAAAACCGGGCGAACAGCGCATCCAACACATTGTTACACAAATTGTGATAACAAGCGCGTACTTCAAACTTTACGTACGCCGTAAATTTTGTCATATTTTATATTTGTTACAAAAGTTGTTAACCGCTTTTCCCATGCGTAAAAAAAATGTGCACATGGGGTGTATCATTATCGTATAAAGTTGAGCATCACAATTATCTCTTCTCGAATGTCTGTCGGAATAACTTTCCTTCGACGTCAGTTTGTTGTTGTGTACCGTTAGTTGTCAAGATTAGGAATCCTTTTTGGCCAACCGTAGGATTCCAAAGAAAACGTAGGTTGTTTATAGACCAGCTAATGCCTCCTGCGGATTAACTCCGTCAACGACGTCACACGGCTAGACTGTCTCTCTGTACGATTGGCCGGAACCCCGTCATATGTTTTACCGTTTACCACGTCTCTTAAAAGCTGTAGGCGTGCCAGGCAGGATCAATTTGCATTTGCGTCTTTCACAAATCGATAGGACATGATTTTCATTCGGATTTTGCTCTTTCCTTTTGTCTCCATTTCAGTTGACGCCCACGCCGGTGAGCTGTATAACGTACGAGCTGACACCGGTGGCTCCATTCACGACAATTCCGGCTACAAGCGTAGCCAGTACGGTTGGCTCAGCGGCTTGCATCGAAGAGATCATTGATTATCCGAAGTCGCATCCTGCGACGGTTGAATTTGTTCATCACCAGCAGCAGCATCAGCAGCAGCATCAGCATCAGCAGCATCAGCAGCAGCAGCAGCATCATCATCATCATTCGCAACCACCGCAAGTCGTGCAATACGTAGATGCTGGCGTTGCTGCCGGTGTTCACAGTGCCAATGTAATAACACCCACCAGCGGGGGGAGTAGCAGTGGTGGTATTGTAAACCCTAGTAGTGTATCGAATAGCAGTGCAACTAGTGGGCATAACGAATTGCTAAGTGTGATTGAGGCGATTGGTGCAGGAGGAGGCAGTGGTGAAGTGATACCAATCGTTGCCTCGAGTGCTACGAATTTTGCTTTTATCAGCAATAGTATCGCTACCACTAGCAGTGCCGGAGGCTCGGGTCTGTTGGCAACTGGCGGAATAGGTAGTGGGCAGCTAGCAGGCGCCGGAAGTGTTACCAAAGTACAAACCATGCTACAACCAACGGCATTGGCAATTGGTGCTCCGGTAGGGAGCGGTTATGCAACGACCCCGGTCAAACCGGCAGGTCTAGCACCAGGTAAGTCAACTGATGTAGTTTTACGAAATTTTTACCAGGTTTACTTCCATTCATTTAGCAAAAAAATGGGGTTGATATTTTGTATTTGTAAGCAACAAGAAGTGGTTGTAAAGTATGTGTTTGACACATGAAACCTGCCAATATCGCTTTATGAGAGTCGTAGATTAATACGAAATGTGCCTTTATTCCACTGTTTGCTCTGATCTGAGTAAGTTATTTACCCAAACATACATAATCGAACAAGCATTTAACGAACAATTTAAAAGTATCGTTGTTGGTAGTACCACCACCTGTGGCGCGCATAGTTAATTCCCTTGCGTTTGACGTTTACACAGTACCGCCATCTGTTCAGCTTAGTGCCCACCACAGTGTAATCAAAACATGGCGGTAATGTTTTAGCGACGATGTTTTACAGTGCGAAATATTCAATGAGTTATGTCTGTTTATCTGTGTTACTTATTAAAAGCTTTATAAACGTTGACTGCCTTCGCGATTCGATAGCTGAAGTTTGATCTAATAACAAACTGAATACGTGTAATATGCACATAAACTGACGCTCTAATTCGATCGTTTTCAATTGCTTTCATAACATGCTTATTAGATGGATAATCAATGTTCTTCTAGATAAATTATCCGATTGCATTGTATTGCTTGATAATATTGCTGAATAAAGGTGCATATAGTCGGCTTATAAGCCACTACACACTTAGAAATTATCGCCGACTTCGGTAATTTTTACCGAAATCTGAACAGCTGAACTGTTCGGTAAAATTTATGCAATTCAATTCAATTGCTTTTCAGCTTCTTTGAAACTAAATCTCCACTAAAATGACAAGATTTGATCATTTAAGCAAGGTTGAACATGGTTTGAAATTATTTTCAAATTCAAAAGCCTTTAAAATAAAGGTCAAAGTTTTACCGAACGTTCAGCGGTTCTGATTTCGGTAAAATTTACCGAACACGAAAACAAAATCTTAGCAACAATCAATACGAAACTAACGATTTTTAATTGGCTCACCACTTTAGTAGCCTATTGGTCCCAAGCAAACGATTACCGTACCCTATTCTAGTCGAAATTCTAGTACTACGCAATGTTTGTTTTGATTCGCTATGAAAGTTTGACAGATAAAATGAGGGGTTATTGGTTTTTCCTATGTTTCGAGGGGTGAATCAATTAGCTTGGGACCGAAGAGAGTACCAAAGCTGAGCCAAAAAGTTGAGCACGTTATTTCGGGACCTTCTAGTCTTAGAATTACCTCTATGATCTTAGTGTGTATTTATGCGTCCATGTTTTAATAGCATGCTTAATAAACAATAAATGGGTTCATTGCTCGACAACACTGGTTTAGCCTAACAACAAGACGAAATCGGTTGCTTAGTGGTTACCGTTTTCGCTTATGGAGTAGAAGCACCGGTTGGAAACTAACGATTTAAAATTGGTTCAACGATTAACGTACCCCATTTCTAGTCAAAATTCTAGTATTGCACTATGTTTGTTTTGACGCGCTATGAATGTTTGACAGATAAAATGAGAGGTTCGTGGATTTTCCTATGTTTCGAGGGGTGCATCGATAAGCTTGGAACCGAAGATAGTACCAGAGTTGAGCCAAAAAGTTTAGCACGTTTCTTCGGGACCTACTGGTCTTAGAGTTACCTATGGTAGAAGGTCGCGAGTTCAATCCCAGGCGCAACCTTTTTTTTTATTTGTGTCACTACGCCTCGTAATCACGTCTTACGGTCCACAATTATTTCATCGAATAAATATAACGCGGGTAAACGCTCCTATAGGTGCGGTACGTTAAGAACTGTTCATTAATGAAAGTAGATGTGGGATAGCAGGAATGCGGTGTCCTACCCCCCCGCTGCTACCACCGTTTGACAGCTCTCGATTGGACATCCATCAACCAACGTCGTGTCCAACCGACTTCGGGTACGCGCCAACAACGAACGATCGGTACGTGAAACCACATCTTCCTTTCTCGACCTCTTTCTCGTTCCAGCAGTTGTACAGGCAAGTCCATGTTAGCCCCCGCTCTCGAGCAACGGATGGCTGCACAGTTTCCACAGTAGACACCTGTTTCTCAAAGGAAAATATTTATTTTCAACAAATTAATAAGTTTACTTTATTATATAAATGAAAATTAACATACATATGACCGATTTCACGTGAGTTTGAATGTTTACTTCTCATTTCTGAAGAACGCTCGCACTTTTCTCTTGATATGGCCCATTATACCACAGACAGACATACAAATTAGTACCGTTGTATCAACAATCAATACGAAACTAACGATTTTAAATTGGCAAACTACTTGACTACCCTAGTCGAAATTCTAGTACTACGCAATGTTTGTTTTGATTCGCTATGAAAGTTTGACAGATAAAATGAGGGGTTCGTGGATTTTCCTATGTTTCGAGGGGTGAATCGATTAGCTTGGGACCGAAGAGAGTACCAGAGCTGAGCCAAAAAGTTGAGCTCGTTTCTTCGGGACCTTTTGGTCTTAGAGTTACCGCTATAGTTCAGGGCAGTTTGAGGGATTTTGGAATTTTTCGACAAAATCGACTTTTTCTTTCTTGAGCATCTCCCAACGTAGCAGAAGCATAGTGAGTAGATGCCAGATCCGGCCAAAATAATGAACGATCCGTATACTTTTGGTAGATGATTAGAAGCCGTTTTTCGATGCATTCTGTAATTTCTGTTTCTGTAATTTTCATCACTGATTGTGCCCGTTGTAAAATACGAAGAACTCTTCAAGCCACAGGAGCAAATGCACTTTTTGCCAATTCTCGAAACGACAACTTTTCGGAAAACCATTTGTGCAGAATTAATCTGTAAGTCGACCCATCGTTCGAAATTTCTCACTTTTTTTTCAGGTGTGTTTTCAAAATAAATAATATTTTTACACACTGAGCGAAAATTCACATTTTTTTGTTACGTTTTAACTCTAAACCATTGATAAGCCACTTTCTTTAATGAACAGTCCTTAGAAGCGTAAGGTTCCTATTCGTTGATACAAACAACGTAAATATTTACCTTTTTGACAAAACCCAGGTAATCATGACGTTTGATTATTGAAGACAATATGAATGAAGAAAAGAGACCAACTGCTGTCATTATTACCTGAGATTTGTCAAATAATCTAAATATTTACATCGATTGTATCGAAGAATAGTTGTGTATTCCCAAGTAACAATTTCCAGTTGAAGAAACGCTTTCGTTTTGATTTTGTTCAGCTGCATGTTGAATAATAATTGCACAATGTGTTCACCACAACTTTTATAAAACCCTTGTTTACACTCGTTTGGAGAACCTATACAACTGCAACACAAAGGTGTTGTCTAACGTATTCAGTAAAACGTTTGCCCAAAATCAATTTCTTGTTGAAGAAACGCTTCCATTGTGATTTTATTCAACTGCATGCTGAATAATAACTGTACAATTTGTTTATTACAACTTCTGTAAAACTCTTGTTTACACTGGTTTGGAGAACCTGTTCAACTTCAGCATTATATGTCTACGCGGTATAGGAGTAGAAGCAACTTTTATACAACGTTTATAGATACATATTTAAACTCAAGCTTTATTATTTTGGTGAAAGCTCTTATACAACGTTTGTAGACACTTCTTGACAGCTGCTTTGAAATTTAGTAGAGAGTAAACCTGAGAGGCGTTTGTTGCACTCTTTTATGACTCCTAAATAATCATTGTACAGCAAGCGGTGAAAAGCGTTTATAGCACTTTTTAATGACTCCTTAATAACCGTTGTGTAAGTACTCACAATCAGGGTTACTTCCACTCACTTGCTATAAAAAAATGTTTTTCAGAATTATGAAATCATGAGGTGGTAAAATGATAATTATTACTTGTAAGTTACAAAATGAGGACGTGAAGTATGTATTTGAAATATTAAATCAAACAATATTGCTTTCAATGCGTCACAATCAGCAATTTTACGACTCGTGAGTGCTCACTCTGAGTGAACGCTCACAAATCATAAGATCGCTTATTGTGACGCTCTGAAAGCAAAATTGACAGGTTTTATGAGTCAAACACATACTTTAAACCCTCTTCTCGTTACTTACAAGTACAGCATAACTTTATATCATCTAATGATTGCATAATTCCGAAAAATATGTTTTTATAGCAAGTGAGTGGAAGCAACCCTGCTCACAATATTCACAGATTAAAATTAATTTAACAATTGTTGTGGTACGCCAAAATAATTGCTTTTACAGTTTTTATTAATTTAATTTATTTGTGCACATTGAAAAAATATGTAATTATGCCATAATACACATTCTGTGATCATGGAGGAAGTAGTAACTAGCATCGGTTTAATCTTTGATTGATATTCTTTCGATTAATCTCCCTAATAATTAATTGAGAGAATTTATCTAGAAATGTTATCGTTGATTATATGATATATGTCTTAAATTAATGTTTGCATTTATTAATAAACACCTATATATATAATTTACCTCTACTCCACCGAGGGTTTCTCGAAGCAAGATTCGAACTCATGATCCCGGATTGCCAGCCGCTTCTGTTTCCATCCCAACTAACATTTTCAGCTTTGTAAGCCAACTTTTCCAGCGTTGTGCTGTAAAGTAGCTGAAAAGAAGCTGCAGATACAGCTACAAGCAAAAGCTAGCAAAATAGTGTTGGAGAGCGTTTACTCAACTTTCTCACAACCATTATTCAATTTGTCAGTCGCATTGAATAACATCAGCCAATAAACGCTAATGTCACTTCTATACACACGCTACCCAACTTTCAACTTGTAACTGCAAAACAAAGCTAACAAAGTGATTATATTACTCATTTGATGGCTTCTACACAACCAACCACTCTTTCTGAATAACATAAACATCAAAAGTGCTTTTTCAACAACTAAACAACCTATACTCAGCTTATAAACTGTGTTAGAGCTATTTCGGAAGCATTTTCACAGTCAACTAGGTTTATTTTTAGACGTGTGCAGTTTTACAGCTTTTACTTT